AAATTTGAAATAATAGAAGTGACTTCACCGCACAAAGATGAAAATACGAATCTGAAAAACTGGTAATACAGCAATGACATAATAGTGTGTGAGTGTGCCTATGTGTGTTTTTTACAATTTTTATGACATTCCTCACATTGAAGAGGTGGGGACATTAAGGCCCACTGAAAACCAAATGACCCAGAAAACAAATTGTCTTGAACAGGAAGAAGAGCAACTCTGATCAGCATTCCCCAAGGTCTATTATCACTGACCAGAAACCCTGCAATGCAGATTTTTTTAGCTGAGGAAATACCCTTTGGGCATCTGCTGTCACTGAACTGCATGATTTAGTCTTTAGACTCAAACAGCTCTGAAGGTGACATTTTGTGCCAAACATAGTTGCACAGAAACAATTCTCATGCAGGCTGATTTTCGCTCTGCAGAACCTGAAGCAAGTGGCTATTTCCACTTCAACACTTTGAAATGAATTTTATGCATGGGGGAATACATCCTAGAGAAAACCTGCTGGAATCCTTTGGACTATGAAGCATTACCATAAATGTTGCTGAGAAATGTTTCAAGGAAGATCCTTAGAGATTGCTGTGAATGGCACTTTTCAGGATGTGTTTGGTAAATGCAGTGTCACAGTTAGGTCTGCTTCATATATGCTGTCATATATATGAAACTAAAACACTGAAGTTTGGTCTAAAACACTGCAACTTACACAATTACTCATCTTAGCAATGCACATTCCTTTGAAATCCTTCTCCCTTTAAATTTGCATTTGTGCCTAGAAAGTGCTTGCTCTTGATTCCTGGCTTAACAAAATGCCACATGTTATGACAAACAGCTTCCCAAGGGGTCTAGTTTCTTGTGTAACATACAATTAACAACAACATAACATAAAGAGTTTAGAAGTCCAGGTCTTCATTTCCAGTCCTGATGAATGAACCTTTTCTGCTTCACTTGCATTCAGGAAGCCATCACAACTTCACAGTACAATGATGCCCTGATATTTCCTATTTAAAATTTCTGTGTCTTATATATCAAAATTCCTTACAATCAGATATTTCAGACATACTAGCCTTTTTTTTTTCACACACTGTATCATTTTCCTGTACCAACTAGAGAATGCCTCCAGCCCATGTTTAGATGGAAGTGTTAAAATGACAGGGAAAAAAAAAAAAAAAAGACTGATTACTGAGATGGTAGCAATCCAACAACTCTAACCAAATCTGTGATACTAAACACTGGAGGAGATTTACAGTCTGCAAAAAACACAATGCAAGCAACTTTTTACTAATTTAAATATGAAAGGAAATTTAGCAGACTAAGGGCTTGAATGCTGGCTGCTTTCACACAAATCTACTGAAAAGACAGAGCTCAATAACTGGACTCGGTTTAAATGACATAGATCCCTTTATATATATCTTAAAAAGCCAAAATCACTTGGGAGATAGAGTCAAGCTGCCCATGTAGACATAATCTCTGTTCCAAAGTGTTGCGTACTGATGGTGCGTTCCATCTCATCTCCCCATCCCCCGTAAGCTGGAAATTGTGGAGTCATTTAACTCCACAAACCAATAGTCAAGTCCCAGTCCTATTCCAGGAACCATCAGCCCACCACAGGTCCATCTTCACAATTTCAGAGGAGCACAGAGCCCAAAGGCAGGCAGGAACCCAACTTAAGGATTCAGAGGAAGGAATACCTTGTCCAGATCCCTTCCAGACCTGTCTCAGGAGACTCTTAGCCCCAGTATCAAGGTATGACACAACCACAATGAATCAACACTGGATCAATCACCATTTGAACAGAGGGTTGTAACTACCATGGGGTGTGGGACCCATTACAGGTTGCAGGGGAATAGCACAGGATGCATTTTGGAATAGCACAGGACTTAAGGAGGTTTTTTAGCGAGAATTAGGTGATTTCAGGAGGAACAAGTGTGGAAAAATAGAGGGATACAGACACAAAAAGGGTCAGTCACATGTGAATAGTTGGCTGGTCAGTATGCTTGTCTGGCCATGTCCTCTGCCTGATCAACATGGCCTGTCCTCTCTTCTGTTTTATATTTTCATCCTCCATTCTCTTGGCCCATTATGCCTTAGCTATGTAGCTTCTTGAGAGAGATTTCAATGTGTAATGGTCAACTTGCAGTCAAAATAACGTGGTCATCTAGTTATAAAAGCAGGAAAAAGTGTAGTGAGAGAGAATGCACTTTGCTACACATATTGGGAAAAATGGACATGCTTTTAGGAAGCTTTACTGATGTCTGAAACAAGCATAAAATAACTAACATAAACTCAGAGCCATTGTTACCAGCCTACTTACACTGTAGTGTGCTCCATCAGCCTCAGATATGTAAGAAAATTCCTTGTCAATCCTGGATCTTATCTATTTTTCCATATTTATATTGGTTTGTCTAACTGAAGTTACTCTCTCTCTTTACATTTTTGCCTCATTTGTCATATTTAGGGTAGCCCTATAACTTTCTTCACTTTTTGAATTTTGTACATTTCCCATAAAATGATGTATTTTTAACTGGTTGTAACAAATAATTTTTTTGACATTTGTATGTTTGTTTTCTCTATTTTGTTTTGCTTTCATTTAATAGTGACAATAGTTTTATTATCACTTTTTACATACTTGTAGAGATTGATGTCTTTCTTAGTTTACTTCTAGCTCTTAATGGATGGCAATTGGAGCTCTGATATGGGGAAGATCTGTAGCAGTGGGCCCATTTCTGGCTCTGTCTACCTCTTTATTTATCCTTACTTTGTCTTTTTTAAATAATCTCTATTGGTAGGAACAACAAAGCTGGGAGGAAATTGCAATTCTATTTGATATATTAGCTGTATTCAATTTATCAAATAATCACTGTGACATCTTGTTCGTTTCTTATTGATGGAGATCAAGTATTATTTGATAAACATTTAGGAGAAACCAGCTTTTCTTCAGTGTTTCAGACACAAAGTAGCATGCACTAGGTTACTAAGCTGAATAGTGGAGACAATATTATTGTGTATCTTAAACAGAAGATGATTTGTTTAAAATGTGCATGTCTATGCTTTAATTTTAATGGACCATTTAGTTCTATTAAATTTATTATCTGGGACACTCATTTTGTTATAGTAAACAGTTAAATTTTCTTTCCATTTCTAAAATAATTTAAGTTGTTCTACCGTTTTAATTAGGCAATCTATCATTATCTTCAAATGCAACTCATTTTCAGACGTCTGTCTGTGCTCAGTTTATTTCTATTTCTTCTAAACTCTTAAGTCATGGTTCAATAAAATAATTTTTCATATTTCAATAATAATTTCTTATGTTGTGGCCTTATTGGCCTACATTTATACTCTGTCCTACAACGCTGAGTGTTCTTTCTCATTTTGCTTGCTTACAGTGGTGATCCAAACAGAGTTTTCCCTTTCCATTCAATAAAACTAATTTTTTCTGTGGTTTCAAAGACTTCAGCTTTGTAGTATAATCAAACTAATGAATTTGTGTACTTTCTCTCAATTTATGCTCTCAACTTTTATTCAGTCTCTCAATTTAGAAACAGCTAGATGTGAAGAGTTGCAGAAGAGCCTCATTAAACAATGTCAGAGAAAAAGCATTAGATGATACTCAGCACTGACAGATGCAAATCGGGGTAGATTTCAGAAACGGTCCTATCCTTAAATATAAAATGATGGGCTCTGAACTCACCATCAGCATTCAAAGAGAGAGGTATTAGGAGTTTTAATAAGTGCTTTCATGAATACAGCAGTGTACTGATAAAAGGAAATAGAATGGAGGAAGTGTTTAAGAAAAGGGCAGAAGGTAAAAGAGAAAAATGTCAAATTACTGTACAAAGCAGTAACATTATCACACCTTGAATATTGCACCTTGAGTCAGCTCTGGAGTGTCATTTTAAAGAGGATGCAGTGGAATGGAGAAGAAAGAAAGAAAGGTAGGCTGTATGACTAGAGATACAGCATATGAAGTCTCAATGTATTGTGCTCCTGCAAGCTAAGAAAGATTACCAAGAAAGTATAATACACACTTTATATATTTGCCTCTATTTGCTATTTACTATTAATTATTAGGGTTAGATGAAAACATGGATAAAACATAAATGTTCATCTAGTGAAAATTTGGGGAATAAAAATTTTAAATAAGACAAATATGTATGTGATATGACAAAACCAAACTGATAATTGCTTAATATTTATTTGAAAAGGAACTTCATATGCATCATTAAATCAGCTCAGGACCAGTGATTATTTTCTCTGTGTAGATTTTTCAATCATTACTTCTTGCTACACTGATTGTTAGGGGACAAGAATACTTTGGATGTTCACACACAGGAATTTCTGACCTAGAACAATCATTATAATCAATGCTCAAGGAATAAAAGCCCTTCATTTGATAATATAAGGAATAAAAGCCCTTCATTTGATAAGTCAAAATGACCTATTTACTTTGCTTTATTAATTTCCCTTCATACTGTCTCCTGCTTCATGGCAAAGCACTTGGTAAATTTTAATTTGTTCCTCTTTTTGACTGGAAAAATTAATCAAATTTTGGTACCTGGTTGTATTCTTAAAATCCAGAAAGTATTCTTTATAAACTGATTTTATATGCAAAATGTACTAAGTAATGCTTCCCTAAGAGGAAAAATCAAACTACAGAGCAAATCAATTTCTCCAAATGATCTCTCAGTCAAATCTCTCTCTCAGCTTTTCTCCAGGTAATTTACTAAAATATCAGACACTACCTTGTATTTCCTAGCTTGTAAACTCTCAGTTTCTTTGATCTATCTGTCTCCCTTTCTCTGACCTGCACTTTTATGAAAAAAACACTTGGGGAAGGTGATCAGCTCAGCCGTTCTTTGTGACTGGATTTTGGGCTGTGTTCATAGGTGGGGAGGTGGTCACTTTCAGTGTTTTGCCTTCAAAATATTTGACTTGTTTCTTTCCACAGCTTCTATGAATGATAGAAACTACAACCAACGCATGACGAAAATGGCTTTTACCTTCACTGCAGAGGATGCCAGATCTTCCATATGGACACAAGCAAACAGCATCTCGATTGGACTTTGGAAAACACGTAGCACCATTTCCACATGGATTTTCATCACAAGTCACAAACTGGCAAAGTTTTCCTGTGTAGAGTTTAGGGCATTCACAATACCAGTTTTCTGCATCACTGAAAAATTTAAATTAAAAACAAAAAAATATGTATAAGTACCAAAATGCACTTAAAACAAACAGAACAGGTTTTATACTCATTGAAAATCAGTGGCATTTGACTTATAGTTGTAATAGATCTCTTTGTTTTTAGTAGTGCACCTGGCATTAGGCATGCCAGAATCTTTATTGGTGACTTGACAGGTCCTTTGGTGTTTAATTTTATATTTTAATTTATGTTTCCTTTCATGGTGAGATATGTGACTTTTCTAATGTCTCAGTAGTTGCTTGTGCTCCATCTTTCATAAAACAGTCAAAAAAACTGCTACAGAAAAACAGGTCTTCTATTATGTCTGAAAAAATGAAATCATGAAAACAAAAAAAATGAAAGTTATACTTTACTTTGCAAATGGAAATATCATGTATTACATATAGCTTGTGGCAGCACAGTAGGATGTAAAAAAGCCCTGAATTATGCTTACAGTAGTGACTATATTGAAATTGAAACAGAATAAACAGGTAATATCTCTGCTATCATATAACTTATGTTTTCAGTCATAAAAACAATATTAAAATAGGCAACAGAATAATATAAGTTCTAATCAGTCTTGAGGGGTGACAAAACAAAAGGCTTAGAAATATGCATATTCTGTTTGTACAAGTGATTTTTTTTACAGTATTCAAAGATAACACAATGACAGATATGGTAGGAAAACCAAAATCAGATAGGAAAAACAGAAGTGTAAGACATTCTCATCTATCATTTATTATAAATATAATTTCATTAAAGGTCTTATTTGGTCTTCTTTTTTTTTATGGCCAAAATTAGATAATAGCTAGAAAGGTCAGTTCATGTGATTGCTATATATTGTCAGTATTGAACAGAAAGATGTCTGCTTTATACTTGATAAGGTCACATGTGCCTGTGGGTATGAATGCAGAAGACATAATGTGTGTTGTATCAAATCACAGTCGCTGTGGTTTTCCGATAATAGCACAATCATTAGGATGAGCACTAATGAAATATCAAATATATGTGATTCAAAAGCTCTATTATCTGCTTATAATATCCATGCAATCAGATTAAAGGAAATAATCTGAAGCTGAAAGACCTCCTGTATTTTTTAGAAGAGGGAAATAAGTAAGTCTTGTGACAGCCTTTGTTCATAGCAGTTGATTAGTGTGTTCCTAAACTGACCACCCGCAGATCTGGGGAGTGAGGATCTCAGCTGGAGAGTCTACCAGAATGAATCTCATGAATAATGCCCCCAGATACCTTTGCAAAGAAATTGCTATCAGCTGCAATAATAAATTTCTGTGTGTAGCCTGTTCTATTTATAGATCTGCTGCAGACACTGGGAGAGGAGTGTAAATGAGATACTGGATTGCTTTCATTTGTGCAGCATCAAGAGTCCTACTTTCAGTAGCTTTAATATCAACATTACAGAGTTCAGCTAATTAAAAAAGCAATAATAAACTGCATTCTTCCTGTAAATCTACAGTTGATGGTGATGATCTTTAACACTAGTTATTAAATGTGTTTCAGTTTGTTTATAGACAAAAAGACAGATCATCACTGCTGACTGCCATAATACACAGACTTTAGTCTTCATCTTTAAAGAAATAATTTTCATACATTCTTCTATTGAGTTCTATATGTAACACCGGCCATTTCTTTTTATAGGCTTATTTTTTCTATTATGGAGAAGATTGAAAATAACAGGTCTCATAACCAATTATGAGGAGTTTATTGTTAACAAAATGAGCAATATTATAACATTTCACTATTGATGCTATAACATCCTAAAAACAAAGAAGAGTGACTCCTCATGAAGCAAAGAAAACACTTTTTAAAAAGTTCTTCAAAGTAATATAAAGCTTGAAAAATATAACAGCTAACTACACTGAAGAAAATATCACAGTCAATTCACAAGAAATAGTATACTGAAATACAATGTCCCAAATTATTCTCTCTCAAAGCTGTCATTGTGCTTTGTTAAGGAAAGGAAAAGATATTCTCCTGAATTAACCTCGGCTGCAAGACACACATAACGCTTGAATGACCAGGAACTTCTCCCAAGTGGATTTCACAATTTTATGCAAACTTGCTATCCTTTATAAGTGCAAGAAGAAAAGGAAAGGGGGCAGCAAATCAAAACATTAGTATCTTTTGCCTATGCTGTACGTCTGTGAATGATTCCAAAAAAAGTCACTGAATAATTACATACTTGAGCTGTAAAAAGTGAATAGTTCATGAAAGAAACAAGGAAACGATCAAAATTTTGAGGCTGTGAAATAAGAAACAATTTTGGAGTATTTTGCTGAAATATGACTATATTAGTGTTTGAGTTTAGATCCAGAGCACGGTTTTTAAGAAAACCTTCTGGTTGTTCCCAGTTGAAATGCCTTGTTTCACTTGTGTCTCAAGGGTACGTGAACTCAATTTCTTTCAGGTGAATCTGCACCAGAACATTGTCTCACACCTCAGATACTTGAGCTGCTTGGACTGGGCATTCAGTCCCAAATGAGGTCTAGTGTGAGTCAAAGCTCCTTGAAACATTAATAATGGTGATGTTGGGTCCTCAGCACTAATTGATTTACGCTGTAAATCCATGCCTATTGAACTACATTACCTACTAATATGGGTGCAGATTTATAAACCACCAAAAGAAAATCATGCAGCCATGGTATGTATTAAATATCAAAAATGGCTCCAGATTTTAAACTGGAACACTGATAAACTCCAGAAGTAAATAGACAAAAAATCCCCCTAACTCTCCAGAATCATATAGAGGAAGAATGACATGAATAGTGAGCGAAAATGGGAGGAGACAAAAATAGTGTAGAAAAGGAGTGGAGAAGAAAAGGACAGTACTTCTAGAGCACCATCACCTCATGTCTCCAGGCTGATGATACGGGAAAAAAAAAAGTGTTGGAAAAAATGAATTGTTCTCTGACATTCTTATAATCCTCTGAATTGGTAAGGGACACACTTTTCATCACTATTTCCCATGTTAAAATAGTCTTTTGTTCTTTGATTTAGACATTAGATTGGAAAGAAATCAACAAGAAATATTTGCATGATAGAATATAATATTGGTAATTCAATAATACAAATTCTTCTCCTTGAATCAATACTACCTCAGTGACCTGATTTAATAAAATCAAAGTTTTGTATAAGATTGAGAGCTTTGGGATGTCACCACAGGTTTTGATAACTTATTTATTTTAAATATTGCACAGTGCATAAGAGATGGTATCGTAGCACATTAATAATCCAGTTCCAGCTGTATTTAACCACAGTTTTTAACTTTTAAACCAATTCTGTTTTTAAAAGAAAAGATTATAATCCCTCTGTACGATGTGTCACAGACATTATTTGTACTCTAGTGACAACTGCAACAGTGTTGTGGTTGTTTAAAACAGTATAATTTTCTATATGCCTGTGTTTTTTCCATCTCTAAAGTGGGAGCACACTGAAAGCACTGTACATGCCATTTGTATAGTTGTATGCAAGAGAGCTTCCCTGAAAGGAAGCACACTCAACACCCTTTAATCATGATCTTTAAGGTCCCTTGCAACCCAAAGCATTCTATGATTCTGTGATTCCATGATAGTACTAAGCTGAGAATGTCAAAAACTATGTGTCACAATGGGTTCAATATTTAATGACATGGGTTCTTTTAATGCTCTTACTATATGATCTATAATGAAGCTGTGGAAGTTGGAGGGAACAGCTCCTACAGTCAATACATAGTAGATGTAATTCAGTTTATTTTAAAGTTGTTACGCATAGTAGATGTAATGCAGTTTATTTTAAAGTTGTTACTATTATTTGTTCCTAGTGCTATTTTGTTTAAAATTACTGGAAAATGAAAGGAGCAACATAGTTTAAATTATCAGTTTAAGCTGAATTACACTTCATTCAAAGATCCATTAAATTGCTCCCCAGAAAACACTAGCATAATGTAAAGACAATTAAGATCTTCCTTTGAAAGCTTTGTGTAATAAACAAATCCACAGAAACTCATTGCAGCCAGAAGGGCAACTTTATCTCATGAATAATCTTAAAAATATCTAAGGACAATATATAAAAGAGGTGTTTCTTCCTTGTGCACAGCAGGTGTTTTTTAGTATATAATATAACTGCCAAACTTTCCTTGTATTATACAGCTCCCAGAAATTAATTTAGCTTTCATACTGTTTTAGTACTTTCACTCAGGTTTCCTCAATTATGGTATCATCTCTAGATTTGAATGCTTTTGTTGTCTTTACTGTTTTGAATCCTTTTCCCCCTTATCTGGAATGATTATTCTGCAAATTCAGTGATTCACTTTAATAATTTATTTGTTTCAGTGGAAGCATTTTTGTATTGATTTTGTGTGACCAAGTTTTGCTGTTGGGGGGTGTGGGCTACAGGAATGGCTCCTCTGAGAAGCTTCCTTCATGTCTGACAGAGTCAGTGCCAGCCAGCTCCAGGATGGACATGCTGCTTATCAAGGCCAAACCCATCAGCAAGGATGGTAGCACCTCTGGGACAACATAGTTAAGAAGTGGAAAGAAAAGCCCTGGCAGCAGCCCATGAAAGAGCAGGATCCTGGCAGGACCTGTGGCCCCATGGAGAGAGGAGCCCACACTGATGCAGGTTTGTTGACAGGACTTGTGGCTCTTTGCTTTGGGACCCACACTGCTCCTGAAGAACTGCAGCCCATGGGAAGGACTCACACAGAGAAGTTCATGGAGGAAACTCTTGCTTACTGATTATCTATTTCAGACCTTCAAAGATGTCATAATTTTCAAGAATTCAGGATGGTTATAATTTATTTTGCAATGTACTGATTCGAATTACTAAGACAGTACTAACGTTTTAGGATCATGAAGCCTATTCTGTGGACTTTTATAAACCCTCTTTAGACTCCATTTTCTACTCGGTGAATATGCGGGTGGTTTCCCACCACATGAAGGATACATATTCATTAAAATGTATGATGCATAAGAGCTTCTGCCCTGTAATATGAC